TCCTCTGCTCCTGAGATACCCTATTTCCAAGTGAGATTGTGTCACAGCTCTCCATTGTCCATTTTCTTTCCATCAAACTCTGTAGGATCCTGTCCCCAGCCAAGTGCCCACTGCTTCATCTCAACTCTCTCTGCATTCAGAGGACAAGTTGGACACCAAAAGAGAGTCTCCTGAGCACAGAGGCATAATCTCTTTGGGAACACCTGACTGAAGAAGCACTTCCCTTTCTAATCCTTACATTCCTCTTTGTAATACCATTAGTGGACAAAGTTTGTCGCACTTGCAAAAACATTACTCAAAACCTAAAGAAATTAACAAAACAATATTTTCTGAAACAGGAGATACATCTATTCCTAAACATATATGGCAAAAGTGGTAGGTAAAAACTATGCTCAGAATACATCTGGCAGAGAGCACAACCACTACAGGTTTTTCATGCAGCTACCTGCAAACTGCCCTACTCGTATTTCTGTTATGGTCTGCCCGTGGTCTAATAATTGAACAATATTGTTTCTGAAGGGTCTATCTCAATCATCAGGGGAGCTCAGAGGGATGCCCCCAGTAGCATGAAACACATTACAGAAGTCTATCAAACAGAATAAATACATGTGGATTTGCTGTGTGCGAGCCAAAATGCAAAGATAATTTTCCTCTATGTGGAGAAGCACTATTTAAATGAACCAAATTACCTGATAATTTTGTTTTTATGAATTGCTCATGCAACAGCAAGGCCAAGTACTCCTGCCTCACTCACTCACTGCAAATCAACCAATAAACACACTTAAGGATAAATTATTTACCTTACGTTGGTGGCATGCAGTCAGACTGCTCGCTGCCTGACTGAATTACTCTGGATTTACACCGCTGTGATTCAATCAGAGGCTGATGGGGCAAGACTCTTACCTTCCTTCCTCTGCTTTCTTTTCTGAGCCAAATTAATTATTAAGTACACTGCCCACAGCACAGCCCTATGCATGCAACGCTTAATTACATGACTTTTTTCTTCCATAGGATGGGCACACATGAGGAGATAACACATCCTTGGCAATTGAGCACCACCTGAATTAAGAGAGCTATTTTGTTTGGAATTTCCAAGTTTGAGGTTTTTTGTTTGGTTTTTGTTTTGTTTTAAAAATAAATACGCAGTTATTTGCTTAGCTTCCACATCAAAAACACCAAAGTGAACCTGACTGTCCAAAACCACAAAGTCTCATATAATGATCAGATGTATTTTCCAGAGAAACTTTGTAGCTGTCCAAGACTCTGTTGGATGCAACTGCAAACTTCATGAGTTAAACAGAAAGATGCCAATTTAAGCAAAAAAAAAAAAAAAAACCTTCACAACAGCTTTCTTATTTAAAGAGAACAAGTAACAAAAGTCAAGTCCATTTCCAGATTCCAAAATCTGGACTAGCAGAGGCCAGGGCACTCAGTTGCTGCTTGTCTCCATCTTGTCTTCCATCAGAACTTCACAGAGATTCTAACTTTTGTTTGCTCAGCTTACAAAGTGTGCAAGTCAAACATGGCTGTTATTGATTCTTCAAAGGACGGCTACACTGATTTGATTAGACTCCCTTAGAATCCACCTCCCTGTCCAAAAATCTTCACGTCTGATCATATTATCTATCAGGCCTCAAACTTCTGGCTTGAAAGGCTGAAGTGTGATGGAGTTATAAGAATGTGGAGGAAAAGGAGAAATGGTGTAAAAGTTGAAGCTTTCATGCAATTTCACTAGCAAGCCAGTCTTCCAAAGGCAGAAAACAAAGGTAAGATTCCTCCACCAACCTACAGTCCTAGTACCCAGAGCTGTCCCTCCCCTGCCCCATTTTTAGGCTAAAAGGGTATTTTGAAAACATGCACCCCTATTGGCAGCCCCCACTCAGACGCTGCTCACACTTACTTTACCAGAACTCTGCTCGTAACCCTTCCAATTGCTCTATAACTACCAGACATGGGCTGGAGCTTCAACCCTGTACCACAGCACGCTCCCACTGCAGGGCCTTCATCATCCCAGCTTCCACAAACAGGCCAGAGATGGGACCTTCTTCCTATTCACCAGTCTAGTATCAGACAGATGTCAACGTACCCTCCTGATATAAACCAAAAACACTTTCTGTGTACAGACCACAAATGTACATACACCAAATAAACAACCGAGTGAACCAGAAAACTCACAAGGGACAAGGGATCTGGAGTTTAGACCTCACAGATTACTTCACAGAATCACATAGTTAACGTGCTGCATTTATACTTCTTGGCAGGTCACCACTTTAATCACAAACAGATAGATAAAAGCACGTGCAAGTATATGGTGAGATAGAGGCTGTGTTTCTGGAAGGCACAATCAAGGTTGGATGTGCAGGTATTTATTCAGAGATTGACTTTTTACACGGGTTTCTTTATTCTCCAGATGCCTCGCTTTTATTTCCCATTGGGCATAGAGTTTTCAGTCAACAAAAGGCCCTGAGAGTACCGCTTGGGAACAATTTAGGTTGCTGTTTTATGTCTGCCCAAGATCTTTGTTCAATGACAAGGAGCTTTTAAGCTTAATTGCTACAAAATACTAAGGATGCCGAAAGCCACACAGGCTGTTAGAACAAAAGGAAAAATGCTTCCCCGGTAATCATAAGCACCAGAAAGTTCAAACGCTGCTACACCTTTAGAACAAGCGCATTTGAACACACATCAGGAATCTCCCAAATGTACCGGACAAAGTCCGGGATCCCAAACCCGCACACTAGAGACAGAACTTTGGTGCTGTTCCCCGACCGAGCGAGCCCCTGCTGGAGCAGGTGCCTGGCAGAGGGCATGCCCTGCACCTCAGCTCCTTCCAGGCGCTCAGTCCCTGCTCCCGCACCCTGGAGCAAAAACGCCTTCGCGCCCCAGCTCCGGGACCCGCGGCCCATCCCATCTCCTCCCACCCCGGGCAGCCCCCGGGCCAGGGATCACTCACGCAGCTCCGGGAGCTCCTTACCCCTCTCACTCTCCCTCTTCTTGCATTTCTCCTCCTTCCAGGGCCGGCTCTGCAAACAAACCGCCTCGGTTACCGGGGCCGCGCATGGCAGCGGGCGGCGCTCGGCGGGCCCCGCGGGTCGGGGCACCCCGGCCATGCGCGGGGCAGGCGCTCCCCGCGGAGCTCCGACACGCCTCCCCCCGCGGCGGCCGAGGGCGGGGCCGGCCCGAAGCGCGGCTCCCCCGCGGCGGAGCCGCCGCCACCGGGACAGACGGGCGGACAGACAGACAGCCCGCCCCCCTCCATTTCCGCTTCCAGATCGCCCCGGCCCCGGCAGTCCCGCTGCCCGGCCCCCCGCCCGCGGTCCCGCCGCCCCGCACGTTACCGGGCTCCCCCCCAGCGGCGGCCCCGGCCCGGCTCCGGCGGCGGCGGCCTCCTCACCGGAAAGACAGCGGGGAGGAGCTTCCGGGTCACGGGGCGGGCCGGGCCTCGGCGCTTCCGGGTCGCCCAGAGGAGCGGAACGGCGTCATCAGCGGTTTCGCTTGAAATCGGGACGGCGGAGCGGCGGCGGCGGCCCGGGGGAGGCTCCCGGGGCGGGGGCACCGGCGAGGCGGCCGGGGCCGCAGGTCGGGGCGGGGGTCGGGCGCGCGCGCGCGCTTACCGGAAGCGCGGAGGGCGCCGGCGCGCGGGGCAGCCCGGGCTGGCGGAAGGGCGGAAGTGCCTGTGGCGGGCGGGGGGCGGTGTCCCCGGGCCCGGCCAGCAGCGCCGCTTCCGGCCTCGCGGCGTCACGTGACGCGGGCGGAGGGGGGAGAGCGGGGACAGTCGCCCTCATGAATATTCATGAGCCATCGTGAATAGTAATTGAGGCGGCGCTGAACGGGTCCGGTCCCGAGGAGTTTTCCCGAGCGCGGTGCCTGCCAGCGCCTGGGGCGGTCCCGGTCCGCCGCGGTGATCCAGAGGAGCTGTCCCGAAGTTTGGCTGCCAGCGCCTGGATAGATCCCAGCCCGCGCTGGCTCGAGCGTCTCCTGGCACGCTGTTAAACGTGTCTGTCCTGCTCAGCCAACAGAAAGGATTCCCGCCAGCTGGCTTTGTGCCAGAGCGGGCAAACCGGACCGTCCCACTCCCTGCCCGGAACAGGAGGGCACGGCCGGGGCGGAGGGGAGCAGGGTAACCCTGTCCCGGCAGCGGGGGCTCGGTGTAACCTCACCCGAACACCAATTGTTCTTGTATTCGTATTCCTAACCGTGCCAGCTGGAGCCCAGAGGGGGCTGCAGCAGCTCACCCTCGCTGCCAGACGCTGAGAGCTCAGTGTCACCGCCTCAGCCCACCCGGCTTTCCTCTGGCACTTCCCCGCGGGCGCTCAGTGCCCGGAGCCGCGGGCACGGCGAGGCTGCCCCAGCGGGACTCAGCACCGAGCCGCTAAGCCGGGCTGCAGACACCCCTAAAATCGCCGAGCCGCTAAGCCGGGCTGCAGGCACCCCTAAAATCGCCGAGCCGCTAAGCCGGGCTGCAGACACCCCTAAAATCGCCGAGCCGCGCTGGCTGCCGCTGCTCCGCTCCGCTGCAGGCGCCCGGGGATGAGCTGCGCTTGGTCCCGCTACTCGCAGCAGGGTTAACTCTGGCGCTGGGCCCACCTCCAGGTCAGGTTAGGTTGCCTTCCTCACCTGTGGTGTTGCGCGCCGCGCGTTTGGCTGAGCTCTTTTCAGTGCTCTGACTTGACAGAAACCTCTTTTTTTTTTTTTTTTTTTTAATTGTTGCGTGAGTTTTCTGCCAGCTTGGCATGCTGGAACAGCTTTTCCGAGCCAGCATGAGTAAGAGGGTGGGACCAGGGACAGCACAAGCAGAGCAGCCAGCGGTTAGATGGGCTCGGGCGATGGTGAAACCGCAGCATCCGGAGCAGCGGGCAGAGGGAAACCTGCCGGCGGCTCCGGCCACAGCGCCCGCCTGTCCCCAGAACGGGCTGGGGCACTGGTCATCGCAGGCGGCACCAAACTTCCCCCTGGGAGGAGTCAGGATTAGCTCCCCGTTCTTCAGCAGGAGTCACATGAAGGCAATTGTTGATTTATTTAAATAAAAGGAGTTGGCAGCCTAATCAGTTTGGAAATTAATTTCCTTGTTAATTTGGGGGTTTTGACTTGCTCATGAATATTCACAAATGCTCATCTTGTTGTGGTTGTTTTTTTTTTTCCTCTCCTCTATGTAATTTATTTTTGTGATTGTCAGATCACCTCTGAAGGTGACATTTCTCTCCTCGTTCTGCAACGCAGCAAATATATTCAATCTTATGCCTTGGAAGAGTAGCTCCAGCCTGGCACTGACATCTCTCTTACTTCTCTCTTCTTCCTCAAAGTATCCTTTATAGCCACCTTCCTCCCTTCATGCTGCCTAGGAAGAAACAGGAGTGAGTCTCCTCGAAGAAGGCTGGCCTGGCAAGGGAAATTGTCACTTGAGGATTGGGACAAAGTGGTTAATTTTTCTTAGGGTGCCTGGAGTTTTCTGCTCCCCCTCCCACCCTGCACTGCCGAGCACCCTTCAGCAGCACGTGAGGCAGCGTGACTAACATCTGCCACAGACCTTGATTTGTCTTATCTCCTTTCCTTCGGAGGCGGCAAAGTCAGAGAAACACGGGTGTGTGTCTCTGGAGAGTACAGCTGATCTCTTTACCTTCTTTCCCAGCTCTCTGTTCCCTCCCTTGACTTATGCTGGGAGCTCTTGCTCCTTTCCACACCAGGGAAGAGCACCCTGGTTACCACTGTGGGTTTCTCCTGGAGAGACATGCCTGTGTCTCACATGTTTAGGGCTTCTAGGATTTTGTAATACTGACAGGCTGGGCTCAGCTAAAGAGTGTGGTGAATAAAAACCTGTGTAAAACCACTGGTGTGGGGAGCAGGAGGTGCAGCATGGGGTGAAGAGGTGCCCTCCTTTTGCTGTGCTCATGCACAGAGACAGGCTTGGCTGAGAGCTGGTAACATGATGTGTGTAGTGGAGATGCCCAGGCCAGTCTCCAGACCAGCTCATTTCTTTGGAAAGGCCAGCTTTGGTACAGCCTCCATCTATCCAACTTGCTTGGAGCTGTGTGAGGAGGGGTGGCCAGGCTGCACCAGCCGTGGGGTTCACCCAGCAGCACTGCCAGCCCAGGCTGGGAGCTGGGGAGTGGGTGACAGAGATGTTCACAGCTCTGCAGCAAGGAAATAAGCCAGCAGCAATGCCAAGTGACTGCAGGAGGTAACAGAGCCCTGGAGCAGGTGGTAGGGGGAGGTTAGCGGGGCCTCCCTCCTGGGAACAGAATCATGTGAATAACACAGCCAGGTTCCCACCTCCTGCTGAGGGCACCAGCTCCTGACAAGCTCAGAAAAGAAAATGTGTGGAGAAAGCCAGCCTGTTACCACGACAATTGCTCTCTCACAACCTTATAACAACTTCTGCTGTGCAGCTTTGGCCCGGGAGGGTGGCAAACATACACCTCCACGCTGGCTGCCTGTTCCATCCCCCATCCTTGTTGCCTCCTCCACAATCACATCTGACTGTCACGTTCCCACCTCAGCGCTTTCCTTCTTTATCTACTCTCCTGATTTCTCCAGTTCTCTCTTTTTTCACCACCCCAACACAAAGCACACACCCCTGGCCCTTCAGTTGTGATTACAGACCATCCTCCCGTGGTGCCACTGTGCTCTCTTGTGCTTGAACACCTTTTGTTTGCTGCCTGTGTGTACACTGCACTGCACGGTGGCTGTCCCAGTAACGTAGGTGGTATTTATTCTATGTCACAGGATCCTGCCTGGCTGGCTCCTAGGGCTGCTAAACCTGGCCTAAGGAGCTGGCTCAAGTGGTACCTGAATTTGTTGGGGGTACTGACCAGTAGGCAGAGATGGACAGATAGACTTGGAAGCTGTGATGATATAGTGACACACATTTTAAGGGTGCTGGCTATTCATTCTCACCCAAATTTATAGCTGCTTGTAGGACAATATTTGGTTTATTCTGCAGCTGGTATTTTAATCTTGAGAGTACATTTCTCAGTAAGGCGTGTTGTCCTCACTCTTTTCAGGGAACTGACATCTCTTTGGCAATCGGCTGATTAAATCCCCTGGCAGCACACAGCAAAGAGCATTTCAGCACGTCATTCTTGGTTGGTTTTTTTTTTGTTGGGTTTGGTTTTTTTTTGGGGGTTTTTTGGGTTTTTTTCTCCTGCTGCATGGAAATAGATTGCATTTTCCCCTGCTTGGTAACTTTTCTGCTTAGTGTTGTTTAAGCTTTTAGAAATACACGGTAATGGAGAGTTACAGATGCGTGTTATCCTGCACATGCTTGGTCGCCTGAATCATTTCATTATAAGCATCTTGCTCTGTTAAGGGCAAGGAGCAGAAACCACACACCTGGGATACACTCTGGAATTGGAAGCACATGCAGCAACAATGCAATCCTTTTTCAGTGAAAGAAGTAAGTTTCTCTGAAACTGGGAGAAACTGGGAGGACTGGGAACTTGGAGGTGGGTCCCTGTAACAAACTGTGATTGGGTCAGCCTTGGCTCCAGGCTGAGTTCATTTCACCACTGTAGTGTAGTCAGGGCAGTTAGTTACCGAAACTTCTGGCCAATGTGCCATGAATACAAATCCCATTATTTTGAAGGAGGAAAAAGTATCACTAATTGGATGTGTCAGGACAGCAAGAGTGGCTGAGGACCTTCAGCACAGGGCAAAAATCACAGTTACATCAGAAATGCCTGAGAGGATCTCTCCTGAGTGGGCATGGCCAAAGCACAGCACATGGGCAGAGGCAAAGCCTGCTCTAGTAGGGCAATAAGTTCTCTGTGGCAATAACCACTGTATTTCATTAGATCCCCACAAAAATTATCAAGAAGCATTTTCAACATGATTCAGCAGTGAGCCCTTCAAGTAATGAAGGCCCCCTAGGCTGCATTAGCAAGGATGTAGTCAGCAGATCAAGGGAAATTATTATTCCCATCCACCTGAATGGTGTGAGGCCCCACCTGGGAGATTACACCCAAGCTGCAGCATAGCCAGAAAAAGGCCCCCACGGTGGAGGGTAGAGCACACAATGAACAAGGAGAAGGCTGGGGGAGCTGGGTTTGTTAAACAGGGAAGACCGGGGAGGGGGGTGTCTAGTTGCTGTCTGCTCCTACCTAAAGGAAAGCTGTAGAGAAGAGGAAGCCAGACTCTGAGAAGGCACCAAACAAGGGTCAAGAAACAAGGGACAAATGTTGAAACAAAGAAATTCTCAATGTGTGTAAGAAAAAAATTTCTTCCCCTTGAGAACAGTTCAGTAGGGGAAAATGTGCCTTAAAAATTTGGGATATCTCCATCCTTGGAGATGTTCAGAAGTTGTGTGAGCAAGGCCCTAAGCAAGCTGGTCTAGCTTTGGACTTACCCTGCTATAATTTGGCTAGAGACTTCTAGAAATCCCTTCCCACCTGACTTTCTGTGTGGGTCGGTGTTTTTGTGCTGCTCATCTGCCATGAGCCACTGTTCAGTGTCTTCACAACGCTGGGAGCCAGAAGGGCAGCATGCTTGTTTGGCCCCGTGGAAATGCATCTGTGCTGACAGCAGCATTAGCATCTGTAAAGCCTTTCTGCACCAATGTCTCTTCTCCAGCTGGCTTGCCACCCTCTGTAGCACAACTTGTCCCATTTTATACTACAGATGAATCTCCTAACAGCAAGATCTGGTTGGTTTGGGGGTGACTCCTTAAGCTGACACCCATGTTTTTTTTAACAGCAGCAATCACTGAAATGTCATTTCAAACTATATTGCAGCATGTAAGAGTTCCCTCCCTACACAAAATCCTCACCCCTTCAGAAGCAGAGAGACTTTAATAACTCCTTTAAATTCTTGGCTTAGGTGTCTGCATGTTTCTTTGCAGTCGGAGAATCTGTGATGAGTTTCAGGGGATTTTTGTTCTCTTTCAGAAGCTGGTCACTTCTCAGCCCCCCCATTTTTGAGAAACTTGCCCCTGTGATAGCCTAAACTGTGGCTTTCGGCTCACCAGGAGAGCAGAGGGGTGGGTGCTCGGGTGATGCATTCCTCACACCACCTTCAGTGCTCACCACAGTGCTGCTAAAACACCTCTGGGTCTTTACAGCTGCCTTGTGTCATTTCTCAATAAGAAGGATGATGCTGAAAAAGGTGGGAGAAGAGGATAGAAGAAAGGGTGGAGAACAGTAACTTGATGTATTAAGGCAAAAGCAAACCTTGAGAAGCTCTGTAAAAGCAAGACTGGAGCTCACCACCTTACCTTGATATTTGTGGGTTGTTTTTTTTCAAAGCCATCTAGGGAAGCAGCAGTTTTGAGAGCAAAGATTTGCAGCATATCCATCAACTTCAGAGTAAGCATGTCAGGGCTGTGAAGAAGGAGCTATATTTCAGGAAGAGAGAAAACAAAGTACTCTGGGCAGCTGCAAGCCCATTAGTCTAGTCTCAACAGAGTATAAGGTTAAGAACAAATTACAGAAGGAAAACAGAATTAAAGCTACAGCAGTAAGTGGAAAATGGAATCAAATACAAAATGGGTTTATCAACAAAAGCACTGTGTGCCCTTAACTTGATCCTTTTCTTTACCTCCCTTCCCTTACCTGGCTGAAAAAAGAAATTGGTAAATCTAATCTAGTTGGATTTCAGTAGGGCATTTGTTGCACTAAGGGCTGCAAGGCAGCTAGATAAGCTGAAGTGAAAGGAATTAGTAGGAGAATTTTAGGTGAGTAAAATGCTGGGGAGAGGCAGATGATGTGTGGAGTCAAAAGGGAACTGCCACCATGGAGGAATGTCACTGGCCTTGGGAATAATTCCGCTTGCAGTAATGGCTCTAACTCAGCAAAAAGCAGCATGAAAAGGAAGTTTGCTGATTAAATGCATTTAGGAGAATTACTCACAGTCTGAAGCAGAGAAGTGCGAGGTCCTGTTCTTTGCTCCTGCTAACAGGAATGTCTTTTACACACAGAGATTTGCTGGTTAGAAATGACAGAAGAAGAGACAGATCTGGGTGCATTCATCATTCACGAGATGATTATGAAGCCCCGATGTGACGTGATCACAAAGACAACAGCCTTAAAGAGATCATTACGTTAATCTTATTTAGGATGCTATGTACAATTTGTCACTCACATTCAGGGGTGGGCTTGGGGCTGGCAGCAGTGGGGGGGAGCTGGAATAAGAGTCTGTCTCCGTGCCTACTCTTGCTCTCCATATGAGCGGACATGGAGCCTTCCTGAGCTTAGCAAAAGGCTGGAATGGATTAACTTCTCTCTAAAAACCCATTTTATACACATGGATGTGCACAGCCATTACAGAAGGGAAGGAGCTCAGCCACAATTTAGTTGGGCAGTCCTTTTCTCTTCTGAGTTTGGCTCTTTTTAAGGCTGCACAGATTTACCTCTCCCTGCAATTTGCTGTGCTTCCTTGGCAGGCAGAGCAGGTTAGCACGACAAGCACAGCATTATAAGAAAAGATGTGCTGAACACAGGTCCACAAGCCTACATTTTTTCTGCTCCATCCCCCAAAGAGTTTTTCCTTCAAGGGTAAGAGATCAGTCTAAAGTCTTGTGATCTTTATGCAGGTAACTTCTTGGTGTTTCTTCCAGACAATGCCTGCTCTCACAAGCTCTCTCAGAAAGGAAGTTTAAAACCAGCATCTCAGAAGAGGCTGAGTTCTTTGGAGAAATACACAAAAGCCAGTCTGAACTAAATGTGCCACATGCCTCTGCAGCGGAACTGAAAGGGTTCATTGTGCTAGTTTTCATGTTGGAGAAAGAGTGGTAGGTCTTGAACCTGGTTTACACCTGGATGGGATTAGTGCTGATCTAACACTTGACTGAGGTGGGGGGATTGCAGTAAGTATAGCTTGCTGCAGCTTGCTTCTGACAATGATTTCTGAGGTTTATTTAATTTAATTGGGGGAAATGAAATTGGGACGAGACCTCGGGCGATCATGTAATTCAGCCTCCTGACCTGACGACAAGATTAAGTAAGCACAACTCATTCCTGACAGATATTTGTTGAACCTGTTCGCAACAGCCTACAGTGACAAGGCTCCCTGGCCAATCTAGTCCAGCATTTTATTGCTCCATAGTTAAAAAGCTTTTTCTACCGCACAGCTTAAGCTCTCAGTGATGAAAATGAATCTACTGATTTCCACAGCCCCGCTGAAAAGTGTCTTTCCACCCTGACAGTGCAATCTCCCCAGAGCAGCTGTATATACTTTTTGGCAATTGTGTGCATCTTCTGGAAATTCCAACTGTGTTTTTTTCCTCACTGTTTGTGCCTTTCACTCTATCAAAAGCTTCAGAGTCAAGATGTATCACATCTACTACGCCCCCCCAGTCCGCCAGTGCAGTTACCATGTCAGACAGCGAGATTAGATGGGCTTAATGTGATCTTCCTGATGAATTGGAGTTGGAGGTTTTTTTCAGGTTTGAAATGCCCATCGGAGGGGAAGCTAATTCATACGTGCAGCTGCTGCCTGACAGGGATGAGAAAGAGACCAGGGGAGAGGGGCCTGGGGCTGTGGCCAGCTGAAGAGGAAGGAGGCAAATCCAGCCAGGATAAAATGCAGTGCTGGACAAGTAGTCTGCTGTTGGGTTTCTAGGGATGGCAGAGTCTGCCAGGAGCCCTGTGGGTAAGCACAGCAAAGTGTGGAAGGACGGCCTGCTACAAGTGTTTTCACAGTGTGTAACATCAGAGATGCACCAAGCCTGTGCACCGTGAACCCCTCTGGAATTCATTACAGACTGAAACATGCTGAGAGGTTTTCAGAGTTAACAGGCTTGGGGCTGCACCACTCTGGGTGGCTTTTCAGATTTCAGCAGCACTTGCGCCTTTATTGTCTCCCAGAGTTTTCATAGCATCTGGAGCAGATCCCTCTGGGCAAGGCTCCCAAGTTTCAGGTAAACATCATGTTCAGGGAAGTACTTTTTTAGATGTGTTTACAACATCAGCAGGGAGAACTCACTAGCTGCCTTGCTCTCACTGTACTGCAAACAGCTTATCTCCCAGGGTTACTTCATCGTCCCCCTTGTGCAGTAGTTCTCAAAGAGCGAAGCTCAGCAGCAGTAGTGTTAGCTAGTCACAGCACATCTTGCAGTCTTGCCACCATTTCTCCCCCATATCACATACCTGGACACTCCTTTTTCCCCAGCAGGCAAGGCACACAGCCATATGGCAGGAGGGAACAGCTCCTGATGAGAAGCAGAGCTAGTTGCAGAGAGTTTCCCTGTCCATCATGTCCTTTTCTCCCATACCAGCTTCATCCTTCCTTCATTCCACCTCTTCCTGGGTCCTTGTTGGAGGCTAAGCCTGCCATCTGCTGAAGCCGTGACGTGTCTGTGCCAGCATACTCAGCCATGGGACACTGGGCAGACTGAGGACCTGCACTCATCTGTCCTGTCACACAGCTGCTGCAGTCAGCCCAATTCAGCTATTGCTGCCCGAGACAAGGCTCAGGCAGGGCTTGGGGTGGCACTCATCAGAGACCATTCCCAGGAAGTGGTTTCACAGAATCACGGAGCGGCTGAGGTTGGAAGGGAGGGTCTGGAGGTCATCTGGTCTGTCCTGCCCCTGCTGAGGAATCACCTCAGGGCCTCCATCAGCCAGGAGTCAGTGCTGGTACTGGCCTCCCACTGGACACTGTGCCACTGCTCACCCTCTGTGCCCAGCCATTCAGCCAGGTTTCAGCCCCTCACTGCTTGCTCATCCAGCCCATACATCAGCAACTTGTCTGTGAGCATTTTGTAGGAAACAGTGTCAAAGGCCCTGTTGAAGGTGAGGCATTTTATCATAGAAGGTTATCAAGTTGATCAAGCAGGACTTCCCCTGGGTGAATCCATGCTGACTATTCCTGATGATTTTCTTGTCACCCACATGCCTGGAAATGATTTCCAGGATTACCTGTTCCATCATCTTCTCAGGAATCAAGGTGAAGCTGACTGACCCTGGATCCTCCTTCTTGCCCTTCTTGAAAACAGGAGAGATGTTTGCTTTCCCCAGGTGTTCAGATACTTCTCCCAGGTGCTATGACCAATCAAGAGTTATCGAGAGTGGCCTTGCAATGACTTCTGCTGGCTCACTCAGCACTAGTGGGTGCATCCCATCAGGATTTGATGCATTTCTTCTGTTTCAGAGGCAAGCAGATCCAACTGCCTGTATCCATAAGCGTGTTCTGCCTGTTTGACAGAGCACGGTCCCTTTCTCATTTTGCACTCTCCATCCTTATGTTCCTCACACTCCACAGTGCTGTCTGCCTTCTGGGTAGTTTTCCACTATTCAAGCTGAGTGCATATGAGTTGGGAACTTGTTCCTGGGCCCTCTTACTAGACCCAAAAGTTCCCGGGTTATTTATTGATTCTCCACATGGAAGCTTCTCTAGACAGGGCTTTAGGGAGTCCAGCTGTGGCCAGGTGTTCTGCCTGGAGGAAAGTGGCACATGTTTCCTGCCCAGTGCCTCACTGGAAGCAGCAAGTCCTTGGATCAGGGCAGGTGAGTCCAGAGATGCACCAAGTAGCATTCTGCAGGTTCACGTGCTTCCTTCCCACTCAGCTGGTTGAGCTCCTCCTCCCAGACAGGCTGGCATAATGATCTCCACATCCTCAGGGCAGTTCTCAGTCTCACCTAGATACTCAAGAGTTCCTAGAAAATCTTTTGCATCATTGCCGGGCCTCATTTTAGCAAGGATGCTTATGTTTTCCAGGAACTCTCTCAGCACCACGGTCACCTGGGGCTTCGTTTCCTCCAGCCTTGCAGGCAGAGTGAGCATCTGTCACAGAAGCCTTGGCTCTGTCTGAGGAGCAGCTGCCACATGAGAAATCACTCTTTGCTTGCTCCCCATCTCCCTTTTCTGGAGTGGAGCCCTCCAGGCCTGCCAGCTGACAGACCTTTGCTTCCCCCAGATCAGCTCCCATCATCTGCACATTCTTGCTATGGCAAGTATGGCCAGCTGCCCTTTTGGGTCAGCAAGAAGGCAGGCACACAGTACACGTACAAAAAACTTCAGAAAGCAGAGAATAAATCTGAGAAATGCTACTTGCTCCCTCAAAACTTCTGGAGATAGGAGCCCAGCACAAAACCTGGCTGGACAGAAGGATGCTGAGCAGCCTGTCTAGGGCAGGATTTGTGGCTGTCCTTGATACTGAGCTTCCTGTAAGTCACTCTTTAGAAAATACGTACCCAGCAGCAAACACTGTAAGAAAATTCGTTTTAAACAAATTTAAATTAGTTTCTAAAGCACTAATGTTTTAATGCAGTGAGAAAGGTGAGCTGGAAATGGCAGCAGCATGGGTAACAGGGCAGTGGTGTACAGAGGGAGTCCCCCTGGCCATTCTTTGCTTTTGTGCTTGAAACTTATGCAATAACCATGTATTAAAATTTCCAAAATTTTCAGCCCTGGCTCTTGTGCACTGTTACATCTCTGTAGCCATGCTGGCAATTCTGGTCTGAATTCCCTTAATATGGAGCCTGGGATGGGGCTGAAGCTCATGGCAGCCTCATATCATCCTTCACCTTAGACACAGCAGCCTCTGGGGTAGAAACAGCATAATTTCAACTGCACAAATGGGCAAACAGCCCGATGCTGCCAAAAATCGCAGGAGTCCTCCCCAGCTGTGGTTGTGCCAAACCTGCTGGGCCAGCTAAACTTGCTGCTGGAGATGGCTTTCCCCCTCCCCAGTGACTCTGCAGTGCAGTGGGTCAGGTGAGCACTGGTGAGCTCATCCCAAAGCACTGATGCCACACAGCTGCGTTTTTATGAGCTGACACTTGCCAGAAAGTTGCTGCCTTCAGTGCTGTTGCAGAGTGGAGTGCCTGGTGAAATCTTTACCCCAGGACATCCTAATCACATGTAATCTCCTTCTGTCCTTGAAAGTGGTGCACTGAAAGAACCCGGTATCCCATGGACAGAAACACTTTGCCTTTCATCCCAGAGCTGGCAGCTAAAATCCCCACCCCACCTGCCCCCAAGGGCCTGGCTCTCCCCTCCCTGCTCACCCCCTCTGGTCCCGGGTGACGCTCCCAGTGATCATCACAGAACACTT